AGATATGGTCTCAAATTTTTGCCTGGTCAGAGTTGGACGGCGATACTCTTACCTATGGCCTCCCGTGTAGCTAGGACCACAGGCACACCACCACACCCAACTTATTTGTTGAAATGGGGTCTCCCTAATTTTTGCCTGTGATGGCCTTGAACTGTTATTCTCCTGATCTCCATCTCCCATTAGTTGTTGCAGGTGTGAGCCAACACCATCCAGACTATTTTTTATTTAGGAATTTAGTAACCTTATTTACTTCTGTAATTTTTCTCATAGGTAACTTAATTCCTGAAGTTAAGACAAAAGCAAAAAAGAAAGTCACTAAGAAAGCTTACGAAACTGTTTGTTTGATAATTCCTAACTGTATAATTGCTGAAACCATCATAAGCAACAAATATTTTAAAAACAAAGGCTGGGCTTGGGGTATGCCTCAAGTGATAGAGTGTCTGCCTAGAAAACTCAAGGCCCTGAGTTTAAACCCTAGTATTGCCAAAAATAAATAAATGAGTGAATAAAATAGTAATAAAGAAGCTAACTTTGTGTGTGGGGGAGATGGTTGGGATGATCTAAACAACGTACAATGTAAGGCTATTTGGAATTGTCACAATGAATGCCCATAGTAAAATGAATGTACCCTAATAAAAATAAAAATATTTTAAAAGAAGCTGCTTTTAAAAAAAAACAAAATGGAATGCCCTGTCTTGCGACAACACCGCCCCCCCAACTCTGGGGGCTCTACTCTCCCACTTTACACTTTTCTATCTCAATAAACTCTCCCAATTCACCAAAGAAAAGAAAATCTACCAAACTTATAAGCCTCTGGCTTATAATTTTCAGTACCTGCTTGAGATTTCTTCAGACGGATTCTGGAGCCCCTTACCCATACAATCAAGTACTGGACAAGGAACTACAGAATAATTACACTGAGTAATTTTGCTGGAAATGACAAAGTGAGGGTTAGAAAAAGGTTCTATTTTGTTGCACTGTTTTTACTGTGAAAGCTATTCCTGAATTCTGTAACTGTTAGGATCATCTTTTTGCTTTAACATATATAATTGGATGTTAGTAATTGAACGTAGCTTGATTAAAAATAGCTAAAATACTTAGTGTATACGTATCTACCTTCTGTGCATTTTTGTCAAATGCTTTTGTGCACACCTAAACTCAGACTTACTAATATAGTAGAACTTTGAATTATATCTCGTATGTTAGATTTTTAAGATGTTTTGCAAAATTAAAGATAAAACATACATATTAGATAAGTATTTCACTATACAAATTGAAAGATAAAAGTCCAAATTTAAGGTTCAGTAACTATTTTTTTTGGGGGGGGATGTTTATTTGGTGGTACTTGGGTTTGAATTCATGGTCTTATTTTTTGCTAGTCAGGCACTCTACAACTTGAGCCACACCACCAGTCCTCAGTAACTCTTTTGTTTAAAAAGCTAAGCACTGGTTATAACTTCACTTAAGCAGTATGCATTGTATCTGATGTATCTGTTGACAATGTTTTCTTTTGAGAATCTGTACTGTCTCAATTAACAAAATATATTTCAAACTATCATCTTAGAAATATCAAAAATCCAGACTGAAGAAAGATCTTTATTCATATTAAGCAAGTCAGAAAAATTGTTGCTAATATGCAAACTATCTTCCTCTTACCATATATACCTCTCAATTCGTGACAACAGACATTTGCTGCTGCAAAGTGATATTTATCCTGAACTCATCCTGCAACTCTTGCTTAAACCAGATCTCTAATGCCACCTGCTGTTGTAGATCAGGGCCCTCCACAAACTACTAATCTGACCCATGTCATTCCTGCTTGAATTCCACTCCTCTATTAAGACCAAAGCAGTTCAGTATTAACCATACACAGATTAAATAAAATTCAGGTACTACATATGGTAAGCTTTAATATTAAAGCTATACACGATTGAGGTCATTATCACAATTTTTTCAAATAACCTTTCAAAAAAGCAGTATTAATGTTCAATTTTTGCTAAGAAGAATACTATAAAGTAGGTCTACAACTTAAAAAAAAAAAAGAAAAATTCTAAGAAAACGTGAGCACAGTCATGTAATTCTTATTTTTTAAAAAAACCTTTTTTTTCCCCAGTACTGGGTTTAAACTAAAGGACTTGTGCTTGTTAGACAGGTACTCTACCACTTGAACCATTCTGCCAGCTAGTCCCTTATTTTAAAAATCCTTATTACTAAAAGAAACACTAGACATAGAATATGATTTCTTAAATGAAACAATATACTTTGTAATCACCTCAACATCCACCAAGAAGAAAAATATAGCCAGCAGGGTGGTACATGACATTAATCATGCCACTAATCCCAGCACTCAGGTGGTTGTGGCAGAAGACTACAAGTTCCAGTCCAGTCAGGGGTATACAGTGAGACCCTGTCTCAAAAACAAACAAGCTGAAGTGGTGCTTTCCAAAGTCTTTGAATGCCACACACAAGTTGATTACGGAAGTATTCCTTTCCTCTCCTCCATTCTTTGTATTTTTTTTTTTTTTTTTTTTTTTTTACATTTTCTTAATATACATACACACTAAAAGTCTGTCAATTCTTGTTTTACACCACAACTGACAAAACTCTGGGATGTATCCTAAGTGTGCCCTTGATTACTTGTTCCAAAAGCTCTCTTTTTTCTAGCAAATTGGAAAAAAGCTGTCAATACCTAATTTTAAACATGAGTTCTTCTGTAAAGCTCTTTTGACTATTCTCTTGCTTACCACCTTCCTCTAACAAATTTGTGATTCTCATACACTCTGTATTCATTTTTGATACCACATTTATCACGATATACCATAATTACTTGTTTATGTCATCAGACAGGCACTCAAATACCTTTTAGAAAAATAAATCAAAATGCTAAGAATCTAAACTAGACATTAAATCTAGCACTGATATAAAACTTAACCCTCCTTGGTGAAATTACAAAGCAAAACATTAGTCCTTTTGATCAGTTGCCTAAAATATAAAAGGCATCAAAAATTACAATTTTAAGACAGCAAAAATGTTTAAATTGGCAGGGCATCAGTGTTCAAACCTGTAATACTAGCTACTTGGGAGGGTGAGATCAAGATCATAATTCGATGATAATCCAGGTTAAAAAAAAACCCTTAAATTGTGATGTAAAACTCTGCACATGCCTACTATAGTGAATATCTAAAAAACACTGAGTTGTAGATTTTTTATGTGATACTGGGGCATGAACTCAGGGCCTACCCTTTGAGCCACTCCACCAGCCCTTTTTTTTGTGAAGGGATTTTTCAATATAGGGTCTTGAGAACTATTTGCCCAGGCTGGCCTTGAACCACGATCCTCCTGTTATCTGCCTTGCGAGTAGCAAGGATTATAGGTGACTGGCTCCAATTCAAGAACTGGCACAGTATCCATTTTTTCCTGACTTACATCTATTAATCTATTCACATGATTATATCAACAAATCACCCCAAACTATCTTATACCTCTATAATCTTGTATAAAATAACAACTATTAAAATTTTCTGGATGCAGGTCAGTGTTGTAGCTCAAAATGTAACCTAGCTCTCAGGAAGTACAGAACAAGAGGATCATGGTTCGAGGCCAGTCTATGCAAAATGTTAGTGAGACCCTCTCTCAATCAATAGCTGGGCATGGTAGTGAGCACCTGTCATCCCAGTAATGCAGAAAGCATAAACAGGAGTATCATGGTGCCGGTTAGCCTAGCCAAAAACATGAGACACCATCCCAAAACTAACTAAAGCAAGAAAGGGCAAGTGTGTGTAGCTTAAGTGGAGAGTACCTCCTAGTATGCACAAGGCTGAATTCAACCCCCAGCACAAAAAAAAAAAAAAAGAAAAAAAGAAAAAAGACTGGATGCCACTGCAATTTGGAGAAGAACAAAGGAGCCTGCAGCATTACAGTTTCTAGTAATATATTAAAAAGTATATGAATTTGACAGTAAAGAATTAATGGTTAGGCAGGGCATGATGGCACATGCCTGAAATTTCCAGCACCTGGGAGACTAAGAAAAGAGGGATTACATGTTTGAGGCCAGCCTGGGCTACATAGCAAGACCCATCTCAAAAAAGGTCAAGTGAGGGGTGGGAGTGGGAGGGGGAGGGTGGTGGATTAATGATAAAAATCAAGTCATTTCATACAGTGAAGAATATCCCTAAATTTTAGCTGAAATGTTAGGCAAACTCTTCCTACCTTACTCCACTGTAGGCATGTGATCTAAATCCTTGTGTGGACACACATGGTATCTACAGTCTGAAACTAAATAATATATAGTAACTAAAATTTGTGGTGAACATGATGCAACACAAATCTGACATCCTTACTAAATAGGCGAGGATACGAGACAGGGTGAAAGATTAACAAAAATTAGTCATTATATGGAATGGGGGACATTTTTTTTGGAGACAGGGTCTTGCAGTGTTGTCCAGGCTGGTCTTGAATTCATGAATTTAAGTATTCTCCCTGCCTCAGCCTCCTCAGAAGCTAGAACCAAAGGTATCCACCACCCAGTCCAGCTGACATTTTAAATATATTAATTTGTCTTATAAGGAACAGGAATATTTTATAAAACAATTCACTTAACAAATGCTTTCAATTCATATGTTAGTGAATCTGATCCTTTCCACCATCCTGAAAGGGAGGTGGTATTGTAAGCATTTAACATTTTTGAGCCTCAGGTTTTCCTCTGTTAATATGCCATAGTCTTCTTGTGAGTAAATTGAGAGGCAAGATTCAAATCTAGTCTTCTTAACTATGAATCTTATATATTTTTCTGCTGTCATATTTAGGAGCAAGCTCCATTTAAAACATTTGTTATAATTTTATAAATAAAAATACATATATGGCTATGCTAATACATCTTTGACATAACTCATAGACTATTTGGAAAATCACTTTCTGAAATCTATGTGTAAGCTAGATAAAAATTAATACAGAAATCCAAATATTGTCCATGATCACTTATTGTTGGGAATTTCACTTACCCGTTTTGAAGGACAATGTTCATTCTTTTCATCTGTCATCTTCCCGCTTTTAAGTGCTTTCCTTGGGTGCTTGATAGTTGTTTTTATGGCAGGTCGACACACATAATTCTCCAAGTTCTTGGGAGGTTTTTTAGTTCTCTTAGCCTGAAGGCCGATTTTTAATTTTAAATTTCCCTCTGAAAAGTTTGTTTCTTTCACTGAAAACTGTTGCTGTGCCTCAGTCAAACCATCCTCATTTCCTGCTTCAATGTTTCTTTCCCAATTCCGCTTTCGAAGGTCCTCTTCCTCCTTTGTGCTGTTCTCTATTTCTACTTCTCTCTTGCTGACCAGAGTGCCAGTATTGATGGCAGAAGGACTCTTTCTTGAAAAACCTTCGGAATCAGAACCCAATCCTAACATAGCAGTATTTCTAGGGTCCATCACAAGTGTATGTTATTGCCAAGGAATCTTACAAAAACTTTACAGAACTGTGTTCCATAAAAAAATAGGGTTTTCCAAAACTTGCAACCAGCATCTCTTTTTCTGCAGGATAGATCATAACAAAAATTTATCAGAAAAGAGGCAATTACTAACATGAGAAATGGGTGATAAGGGAAGAGGGACAAGGAAGTCAAAAAGCACCCCCAACTTGGTAAAATAAATCAAGATGTAGTTCAGAATGGATTTAAATTTGTTTAGTTACAAATACATTTAAAATTTCAAAATAAGTTCATCATTCTACAGACATCATGAATAAACCATAATGGTATGATACAAAATTAAGATGTTTTTTGACAGTACAGGGTTTGAACTGAGTGCCACACGCTTGATAGGCAGGCACTCTACCACTTGAGTCATTCCATCAGCCAGCAAATCAAGCTGGCGATGCACGCCTGGAATCCCAGCATACAGGAGGCTTTGGCAGGATAAGTTTGAAACCACCCTGGGCTACCACAAAAATAAAAAAAATTAGAGGGGAGGAAAGAAGTACAGCATGTACCACTGTGTCTGGCCTTACATGACTGTCTTTTATGATGAGAAATAATGTAACTTTTTAATATATATGCTGATTCTATTTCATATAGGTGGGCTTTCTGTAAACTTATTAAAGAATCTTAATTTCATCAGTAACATGTCTCTAAATTTTAGCTTATACCTTTTCTGTCTCTGTACCATCAAGGCTGGTCTGAGAAGAGCAACCAGGCTGACCCATTGTTTAATATTCCTGATCAGTAACTTCAAGTGGACCTATGCGGTCCTGGCTGGCCTGAAACTCATGATCCTCCTTGCTTCTATCTCCTAAGTGCTATGATTACAGGCATGCACTAGCATGCCCATCTCAGTCCTCTTCTTACTTGATTTGTTGACAGAATTTGACACAGCAGAACAGCCCCTTCTGTTTTTACTTGACATCCAGAATGTCTGTCTTTATTCTTCACTGGTAAGTCAATCTGTCTCCTTTGCAGATTCTTTCTTTTCTCCGGGACTTTAAGGCACTTAAATCTCTTCCCTAGTGTACCTGTACTCAATACCTAAATGGCCAGATACAATCTTTTGGTTTTAAATCACCTCTAACATTGATATTCACAAATTTCCATCTCCAGACAGAAACCTCTTTCTGTATCTTCAAATTCATATTCTAAATGTCTACGTGACTCACTGGCTGGATATGTAATAAATAGGCACTTCAAACGTGACATGTCTGAAACCAATTTTTCTTTGCCCAGGGCTTGAACCTATTCTTTACACAGGCTTCATCTCAATAAATGGCAACTCAAGAAATTTTTAGATAGAACATTTCTAATCAAGGGCTAGAGGCATAGCTCAAGGGGTAGAGTACCTGCCTAGGAAGCTTGGAGCCCTAAGTTCAAGCCCTAGTACTGCAAAAAGAAATTGTTTTTCCAGTCAACCTTAATTTCCCATGTCCATTTGGTCAGCACTGTCTGGTAGCTTTACCTTCAAAATATATGCAGAATCTAACTTCTCTTCTTCTCACTACTTTGATGGCTATCACATCTAAATGACCAAAGTACCTGACCTGAAACACTGCAATAGCCTTCTAACTGGAGTATCCTGGCTTTAGCCTTCATTACCACTCCTGTCACCTCCTCTCAACTCAACAGCAAAGTGACCTTTTTTTTCCCCCCAGTACTAGGGTTTGAACTCAGGGCTTTGCACTTGCTAGGCAAGTGCTCTCTTACTTGAGCAACACCTCCAGCCCCAAAGTGATCCTTTTAAAGAGTAAGTCAATCACTCTTCTGATCAAAACCCTAATTCACTCAGAGTAGAATACAAAGTTCTTATAATGGTATAGAGACCTTACTTAATCTACCCTACTATCCCTTCTACCTGGCTTCCGGGCCCTAACAGTCTCCCTACTTAGTTCTAAGGAAGGGATGCACAGGTCGCCCTTCTATTTCTGCACTCAGGGTTCTTACATTTACTACTCTGCCTGACTAGAAAACAATCTTTGCCCAGATAAGTGCATTTTTTGCCTTTTCACTTCCTTCATCTCTCCGCCTAAATGAAAGCTTACAGAAGAAGCCTTCTCTGACAATTCTATATAAGATAGAAAAGGCCCTACCTCACCACTTTCCTCACACACTCCCTGTGCTATTTTACTTGCTCCAAAGCTCTTCATACCACCTGATGCCCAATGTATTTATTCATTGTCTGTATCTTTCTACTCAAATTTAAACTCTATCAAGAAATGCACTTTTGTTAGTTTAGCTCACTGTTACATCCAAGCACTCTAAAACAGTACCTGACACACAGTAAGTGGTCAATAAATACTTGTTGAATTAATTCCATGCCTTATGTGAATTATCATATTGGCTTCAATTGGTCCGTTTTTAATCCTATCTTTCCCTTTTTAAGTTGTTTCCTAACTGCTAATGACTATCCTGTGTTTCATATGTTGCTAATGATGGACCTTCCATGTATTTCTTTGGTTATTTGTTAAAACAAATTCTTTCTGGACTAAAAACAAACATTTTACAATTTACACAAAATAACTGCTTATATTCATTACTCACAAATACATACATTTTTAAAGTTTTCTACAATTTTTTGTTTGTCATGAAAGAATACCAGGAACTTCAATATTTATAAATGCAAAATAGAATTTCAGTGTTTTCCACAAAGAAGTCAAATCATTTATTCACCTGCACGTATTCGCTGTCAAAGAAAGATGCATTTTTGTTAGTTCATTCATTTATTTTTTTGAGCTAGAGTCTATGTAGCCCACGTTGGTCTTATCTTCTCAAGTGCTAAAATTACAGGTGTATGCCACTGCATCCAGCAGATCATAGTCAATCTAGAGCATTACAGAGATGGGTCTGGGAGAGACAGGATTCTCGGCATTTAAAAAATTTTACATTAACAAACAAACAAACAAAACTTCAGGGCACCTGTGGCTAACACCTGTAATCCTAGCTACTTAGAAGTCTGAGATTAGAAGGATGGTTGTTCCAGGTCAGCCAGGGCAAACAGTTCCAAGAGACCACATCTTCAAAATAACCAGAGCAAAATGGACTGGAAGTATGTATGGGTCAAGTAATAGAGTGGCTGCTTTGCAAGCAAAAAGCCCCAAGTACCACAAAAAAAAAGAAAAGGAAGGGAAAAAACTGAATCAAAATGACATATGTTATTAAACAGCAGAATATCAATAAACAAAAGACATTAATTTAAAAATGATCACCCCTCTAGAAATGTGCATAAAAACAGAAATATTGTTTTCCTAAATTGATCGAGGAAAACAGACAGTATGCCTATATGCATATTTTGTGAATCCATTTAGACAGTGAAACAAAAATCACAATTAACATACCCCACATGCCAAACCTAAGCATTTCTAACAAAGATATGACCAAATTCTAAATATACTTCACAACAAAGTATACTTTTGATCTGCTAAATGTAAACTACTGGAAAAACAGTCTCTGTATCAGGTGCCAGAATGCTATTTGCTATTTTTATTAAATTTATTTTGTTTTATTTTATTTTTTGAGGTTGGGTCCAGGCTGGCCTCAAGCTATAATCCTTCTGCCTCAGCCACCCAAATACTGGGATTACAGATGTGTTCCATCATGCCTAGCCTAAAAATACTGTATTTTTAACTTCAACTTTATTTATGAATTACAATTTCAGCTTTTGAAAGATAGCTATACAATCAATCTAGGCTATCAATCCAGGATCAAGGACACTATGTTATACAACTTATTCTGGTTCCTACTATAATATATTCATTTTAAAATATAGTTTGAAGGAGAAAAACAGAATTAAGATTGCAAAAATCTTCTTTGCTCAAAGAGGCACTTTCAACATGGAATTTGGGGATTTATAATGTTTTAAAATCTCTGGAATAATCTAGGATAACCTAGTGAAATTCAGAAAATTAACACAACTTTTATAGCATAAAGTCCTTTCTTATAAATCATCATAGCTTTGAACAAACTCTTTGGGAAAATACTAATTATATTAATAGGACAAATACATTGTCTCAACACAAAGTATGATAATTTAGTAATATGTTTGACACTAATTATAAATTTAAAAAATTACACAGGGTGTGTCAGTGCACATCTATAATTCCAGTTACATGGGAAGAGGAAATCAGGAGGATCTCTGTTCAACACCAGCCCTATGCAAAAAAAAAAAAAAAAAAAAATCAGTGAGACCCCCATCTCAATCAATAAGCCAGGTGTGGTTGTGCACACCTGTCATCCCAGCTAGACAGATCATAGGTAGGAGGATCACAGCGAAGGCCAGCTCCAGGCAGAAACATGAGACCCTCTCTAAAAAATAACCTAAAGCAAAAATGAAAAACAGCTGAAGGCATGGCTCAAGTAGCAGAGTTCAAACCCTAGTACCACCAAAAAAAAAAATTTTTTTTTTTTTTACAAAATTACAATTCATAGTGATTTATGAATGCTACTCACTGTGCATATTCTGCAATGTGCCAATAAACACCTTGGAGAGCAAGATCAATATAGGCTTTGCAGTTGGGGATATAGCTCAGTGGTAGAGCATGTGCTTAGCATATGTTAAGTCCCTGGGTTTAATCCATACCACCAAAACCAAATCACAAACAAAAAATACACAAACACACAATACACACACACACACACACACACACACACACACACACAGTTCTGAGCTGAGATACAGAACCACTATGGAGGACAGTTCAATTATGTTTGTCATATCATTTTATGTGTAAATACCTAGTCTACCATCAGGTGTGGGAAGGACATACTTTGATAGCCATTATTTAGCAAAACAATATAAAATCAATATAAAATTTGTTTATATGAAGTGGGTTCTGACAGTGAGTTTAGCACTAAGGCACTTTTAATACCTTAAAAGTAAAAAAATTCATCATTATTTATTGCACTTTTATATGTGTAAAACTCTATGTTCAAAGATTTACAAATCTCATTTAAACCTCACAATCACCATGACATAGTTATTATTCCTTTTATAGATTAATGAAAAACAGGCTGATTCACCTATAAAAGACACAGCCAGGTCTGCCCAGCTGTTTTTTTTTTTTTTTAATCTTTCCTTTTTTTTTTTGCAGTAATGAGGTGTGAACTAAGGGCCTATACCTTGATCCACTCCAGCAGTCCTTTTTTTGTGAATTTTTTTTTTTGGAGATAGGGTCTCTCAAACTATTTGCCTGGGTTGGCCTTGAATCGTGATCCTCCTGAGTAGCTAGGATAACAGGCATGAGCCACTGGCACCCGGCCCAGCTCCTCTTAACTACTATGTTATGTTTTCTCCAAAAGATCATTTTCAGACCTGATCATATTTCTCTCTGCTACATTTGAAACTCTCTTTTGGCCTCTATCGTGACACATTCTACTGGCTTTTCTAATACCTCTCTAACCATTTCATCATTTCCTTTATGGATTCATTATTCTTAATCTATATATTAATTTAATAAATATGTTCTGAGAACCTCAAAATACATCTTGAGAACCATGACACAGTCTTAAATGTAGTCAAGTCATAAAAATATGGTCCTCATGAACTTTAAAATTTTAGAAGGAAAGGCAGAAACAATCATATAAATATAATAATTATAACCTATAACAAATATAACAAAAGGCACCACTGTGAAACAGTCTATTAAGAGAACTTGAAGGATCAGGAAACAGATCTTAGAAAAACATTTCACATTTAAGGTGTGACTTGAAGTTTGAGTAAGCTAAATGTAGGGAGAAAATGAGGCAAAAATAAAAAAGAGTGTATGTGTAAAAAGTACTTAGGATTGTAAAATTTAGCAGTACATTAACTGAGATAAGAACACAAAATGAAAATTGAACGGTGAGTGAGAAAACTTTGCAAATGGCCTTGTTAGCCTGTACTAAGGATATGGAATTCAAAAAGATGCTGCTAAGACATTCTCAGAACAGCAAGGTGCAATTTACATGCTGAGAAGATCTATTTACTGTGGGAGAATGATTATAAAGATAGCAAAAGTTCACTGTGGAATACCAGTTATAAGACTAACATACTAGAGGGCTGGGGATGTAGCTTAGTGGTTTAGCATGCACCCTGGTTTCAATCCCCAGTACCATCAAAAAGAAAAAAAAAATATTAACATGCTAGAGTAAGAATGGAGAACTGGAAATAGAGAAAAAAGGATAGAATTAAGAGGTATGTTAGAGGTATAGCTGAAATAATTTATCATTAAGATGAGATGAGGGGAGGAGAAAAACCTAGAAGACCTGAGCAAATGGCAAACAGAACTGCAGTACTAGAGATTCCTTCAGCAAATGTTTACTGAATACCCTTTATGTACCAGGAAATGGGAGATACAGGCAGTACAAAAAAAGACTAAAATTCCCGCTATCATGGAACTAACATTCTAGAAGAAGTTTGCAGAGAAAGGGAAATTTTAGGTACAGTATCTGTGAAACAAGTGGAAAGGTCTAGACATACGTGTACATGGTACATTATGTACAAAGAGAATTAGTGGGGAGTCACAGGCACCTGTGTGGTGGAGCATGCCTACAATTTGGCCATACTAGGGTTTGAACTCAGAGCCTCCCACTTGCTAGTCAAGTGTTCTACCACTGAGCTGCACCCCTAGCCCTGCTCATTTGGTTTTGGTGGGTCTGGGGTTTGAACTCAAGGCTTTGTGCTTGCAAAGCTGGTGCTATACCTCTTGAGCCACACTTCCACTCCACTTTGCTCTAGGTATTTCAGAAATGGTGTCTCTCAAACTATTTTCCCGGGCTGGCATTGAACATTGACTCTCCCAATCTCAGCCTCTCAAATAGCTAGGATTATAAAAGTGCGCTAATGACTCCCCGATCTTTTAAAATTATTTTTCAAGTAGGGTTTCACATTTCTGCTTAGGGCTGGCCTCAGATCACAATCCTCCTACCTATCACCTACTGTGTAACAGATTACACATATACACAACCACACCCAACTTGGTTGAGATGGAATTTCAGTAACTTCTTTCACAGGCTGTGCTGAAGCCACAATCCTCCCAACTTCTGCCTCCTGAGTACCTAGGATTACAAGTATAAGCCACCCTAGTCTCCAGCCTGGTTTTTGTTTTTTCTTCAAATAGGGCTTTGCTAACTTTTTTGCTTGGGCTGGCCTCAAACCTCCATCCTCCCATTTCTGCCTCCTGTGTGACTGGGCCAAATACCATCCTAAACACCTCAGCTCTACTTAAGACCACTGATTCTAAACTATCCCACAATTTTTGGTACTGTTACTTAAAACACCTGGAAAAGGGTACAAATGTTTCTGTTCCATTTATCTGGAACTGATTCTCTCATGCACACATTATGCATTACATCATGGTTTTACGACCTGAGAAAATAAAAAAGTCATACATGATACAGGTTCTAATTCCCTGATGACTTCTATTCAGATAAACAGTGGAGAATGCTGTTACTCAAAATGCTTCCCTTCGATGTTCTTGAATTAATTTCTCTTCCTGGATGGCCAGGGTTCAAAACTGTCAGCCTTTTACATATATTGCCAATCCAACAGATGCGCCGCTCATTATCTTAATGATGGAAGCGGATTGTCAAGTATGCGGTGCATCCAAATAAGAGTATCCTCTGTCAAAATTATCTCTGACAGGTTTTTAAATCATCAACAAATAGCCTACATGCTGTGACTGCCTTTATTCTGTGGTTACTATTCTTTTTTACACCTTAAACACATTTAAATAGATCCTTAGTACACTGAGAAAATGTGTCCTGAAATGTGTAATGTCAAGGCTAAGCTATATTAAGTTCCTAATATTTATAAATAATGAATCTTAGACATGCATGGTACAAATGAGATGTGTTAATTCATTAGGAACACAGATGAAAATTAGATTCTTTAAAGTATGACAATGCTGGATTGGCAGAGTGGCTCAAGCAACAGAGTGTCTGCCTAGCAAGCATGAGATGGAGTTCAGAGTCCAGTACTGGAAAAAAAAAAAAAAAGACTATGTTAACTGATAGAATAAAAAATAAGGAAGCCTGATCTGTACATTTTCAAAGCCAGAAATGGATAGTGTATTAAAAGATAAACAGGTTTGTATTTTTTGATATCTTATTTGTTGTTTTATAACTTGTATTTGCTATGTGGTCTTCTACAATGGGATGCTAGGAAGGTAATAACCACTCTAGCCATTATTTCAGAGTAAACAACTAGATTGATTCTTGGCATTTGAATTCTTAATTTCACATAAAATAAGGGTTAGATGCTGAGATACAAAGTTTTTAACATATATTTTATTTGTCTCTATATTATATTATCCATTTTATTTTTGCATTTACATCTCAACTATTCAGTACTAGTTCAGTTTTCTCAGCCAGGAAGACACTGGCTTAAAATTATCAAGATTCTTTTAGCCCTGGTATTCTTGGTATGTCTCAAAGTGTCAAGACTACCCCACAATTCAGTACAATCTACATTGTCTTCCTCACTCTCTAGATAACCTCATCAAGTCTCACTGCTCCACTCTCAAATTTGTATTTGCCCAACTTCAACACTTGCAGGTACGTTCAACTGCCTATACAGTGTCTCAACTGCTTATTCAATGTCTCATCCTTAAACACTTAACAGAAATCTCAGTTAGTATATCCAAACCACATTCCTTATTTCTGCATTTCCCACAACTTACAATGCTCTCCGTATCTCAGTAAATGGCATTCAACACCTAGGGCAATCACTAGTTATCCTTGACTCTTCTTTTACTCAGACTCCACAATCAATCTATTAACAAATCATCTTATCTTCATTACCTTCAAAATATTTCCCAAATCTGGGGACTGGGTGTGGTAGTATATACCTGTATTCAGTTATTCAGGAGGCAGAGAGAGGAGGTCATGTTTGGAGGGAACTGGGGATCTGGTTTTAGTGGTAAGAGTACTTGCCAAGTAAAGACCCTAAGTTCAACCCCCAGTACCACAAAAAAAAAAGAAAGGCCACCGGACACTGGGGATACAGTTCAGTGGTAGAGCACTTGCCTGGCATGGACAAGGCCCAGGGTCTGATCTCCAGCACCGCAAAATAAATAAAAAAGTGAAAATTTAAAAAACAATTTTTTTTTTAAATCTACCTCCCTGATAACACCCTAGGTTTAACCTCACAATCATCTCCTACCTCAACTATTACAATAGCCTCCTAACAGGTCACCCTGGTCATTTTCACACACCTTTCAAAGTTCACATACGTCACTTCCTGCTCAAAATCTTCCAACCGCTTCATATCAAACCTAGAATAAAAAAAAAAAAGTAGATACCTACTCAAGTCTTTAAGTCCCTGTATCAGCTGGCCCCTTGCTACCTCTTCTGCCTATCTCCTATCATTTGTCTCTTATTTATTGTTTTAGTCCTTTTCTATTCCTTCAACACAGCAATCATACTCATGCCTCGGAATTTATGCCTGCGATAGTTTCATGGGGTCCTTCATAACATTTAGATCTCTGTTCAAAAATCACTACCTCAGAGAACTTCCTTAGGTATCCAGTATCTGTTTATCTTGTTTACAATTACTTACCATATTTTTCACCAAAATGTTATAATGCAAAATCCTTTGTCTATCTTACTCACTAGAAAGTAAGCACCATGAGGGTAATGATTTTTATGTTTTATTCTCTATATCTTGGGCTTAAAACAGTAATTGGCAAAAAGTAATTACACAATAATTTTGAGTAAGTATTTCTTTTGTCAGAAGGCAGAGGAGGCAGAATGGTGGCTTACATTTAACTCTGAACAGAGGACTGGCATCCCAAAGGAGTAACTATCCAAAGGATTGCCTGGATAGAACATAGACACACAGTAAAGATTCCTCAAGAGGAAAAGATGTCTGTCCCAAATTGATGTGCTCTAGCATAAAAACAGTCATATCCCCGAACATTCATTGAGGAATCTCAAATCTACTGCTCAAACAACATTTAATATGATGGTTAACAGTTTACAGCAGCACTCAAAGATCTTACACTTGAAAAGGGAAATTAAATTGCCCAAATTATGAAGTACTAAAACAAAGCACAGACCTTATTTGGTTCATCAGCCTGGTACAGTGACTGGCACATAATAAGGCCTCAAAAAGCACATGCTGATCTTGTTTCTGAACCAAATGAGGTAGTTTATTGAAAGAGATGGAATCTGCTTTAAAAGAATACACTAAATTTCTAAAAAAAAACAAAAAAAAATCAAAGGAAATACTTCTAAGCTTTAAAAAAGAGAACTGTCAAAATCAACCCAATTTAGTTCAGACTTAAAGTTCTCCACCTAAGCAATTTCATAATGTAAGATACATTACTGCCCAATTTGGGAATAAATCCCCACTTTGTTAAGAAGATAAAAAGATAAACAGAAGTCAAACACAAAACCCTAGACTGCAGTTAAGTGGAAAATGACCAAATTAGAATTTACCTATGAGAAAAACAGGACAAACAATGCCCTAAAAACTGAGAATTATACATTCTTATAAAATTATACAGACACCCACACACAAGAAAATTGTTTATACACACCTTTGAAACTGTATTTTACATATCCTTACCTCCAATATGAAATAGACACTGGGAAGGTAATTTGCTTTGTTAAATTCTCTTTTTGAGAAATAAGTTCTCTTTTTTTAGAAGAGAAGTAACTAAAACAATAGCAAATATGAGCCGGACGTGGTGGTATATGCCTATAATCCTAGCAGGAGGATCTTGAATTCAAGGCCAGCCTGGGCTATGTAGTGAGACCTGTCTCAAAAAGCAAAAACTAGCAAATATGTTTAAAGTGCTTATGCTTATCATATTATTTCATACTATCCTTTAATAATTCTAATTTTCATTACCAGCATCATTTTACAGTCAGGAAAACAAAAACCATAATTCTTCTGCTCTAGATTACAGTCAGTAAGTTAGCAAGATGGAGATGTGAGCATAATCGATCTGATTTCAGAGTCCATGATCTTAATCACTACTTGGGAATTTCAACACATTGAGGGAAAATATACCAGTGTAGAAACAGAGATTTTCTCATTTTTAAGAGAACTATACATTTTTAATTTGACCAAATACATATTATAGTCAAGGCCTGGGTAACTGGAATGCTGAGGAAGTGTGATATGTTACAGTAAGTTTTCTAAGTAAAAGATAACTAAATATTTTCTTGATTTGCTAGAGATTACTTTCAACAATATACTTTTTGTATGAGTGAAAAATGTTGAACATACTTACACCTTTATTTGGTAAATGATATCCAAGTACAAATGTCAATCTTTTATAGACTAAAAGATATAAGAAATCATCAGTGAATAGGTTGAAAGCATACTGATCCAAACTATAGCAAACTCGTCTATATGTGTACTGTCATTTTCAGACCTTTGCAAATGTTCTTCCTCTACCTAGAATTCACTAAGCCTTACTGAATAACTAGAATCCTTTAAAACATGATTCTTACTGGAGTATGGTTCAAGCAGTAGAGGTCCTGCTTTACAAGAATGAAGCCCTGAGTTCACCAGTCCCACTAAAAAGACAAAACAAAACAAAAGCAAATATAAGAGAATATTTTAATGGGCTGGAGGCATGGCTCAAATGGTAGGGCACTTGCATAACAAGCACGAAGCCCTAAGTTCAAATCCCAGTACCTTTAAAAAAAAACCTGGTTCTTGCCAAGTGGGTCGATCACACTTTTAATTCTAGCACTCAGGAGGCAAAGGCAGAGGACCTGAGTTACACAGGAAGACCTTCTCGAAAAAATCAAATTAATTAATTAAAACAATACCTGGTTCTTCCCACTTGTAGGAAACTATCCTAACTTTTCTGTTCTCCCCATAGATTTACAGATTTCTTTCCTCTCCACCTTGAACAAATGTATTATACAATATTGCAATATATTAGTATATGTTTCTCTTTGAGGAAAAAAAAAAATTAGATTTCCCTATCCCTAAGCACAGAAATGGATACAGAGGAAGCACTGGGAAGTGTTTAGGGTGGCTAAATGATGAATGAATGCATAAATAAATGAACAAATGAAAAGAAGGAATACTTGGTTTTGTTTGTTGCCCTAATTAAAAGGCTATGAATAACTTATTAGTTCTACAAAATATGTTTCTTAGGTAATTTTTTAAAGTAACACAAGTTTTTTAAAAAAATCACATTAGTTCTCTAACAATTAACTTATTAACATTTTAATTTAAATTTATTTTAACTGAAATATAAAAACTGTGTCAGGCACCAGTGGCTCCCGCCTATAATCCTAGCTACTGAGGAGGCAGAGATCAGGAGGATTGCAATTCAAAGCCAGCATTGGGCAAACAGTTTGCAAGACCCTATCTCAAAAAAACCCATCACACAAAAAGGGCTGGTGGCATGGCTCAAGGGGTAGGTCCTGAGTTCAAACTCCGGTACTAGAGAAAATAATGTATAAGAAATACTTGTTGCCAGGTGTAGTGCAGCACACCTGTAATTCTAGCACTTGAGTGGCTGAGGTTAAGAGGATTGAAAGTTTAAGACCAGCATGAAGCTACATGGTGAGTTTAAGGCCAGCCTGGGCTACATAGTATGACTCTGATTCAAAAAACAGTAACAAAACACAAAAAAATACTATTTACTAAAGTGAACAAAATCCTCACTTTGTTCTATAGTTACTTGACTTTCTTTTCCTTAAAGTTAAAACACATATATATGAACAAATAAACCTAACTTAAATCTTTAATTCATGGTTTAAAAACTGACCACTCTTTTTACTTTGACTCCTTCTGCATCTAAACATTAACTTCTGAGTCTGTGTTATCATTTAGTTAGACTAAAGTGAAATCTCTACTTGAGATGTATATCCTTCAATTTTCTGAGGACCTATGTAATAAGGTTCATCCAATAATCATTACAAATGATGGACTCCTCCCTCCCTCATATCACCCTCCCTATGTTTCTTCTTGCAAAGATAATCTTTTAAATTTTCTCCATTCAGCCCTATTAAGCTTATTCTAGGAAACATTTAAACTCTGGAGCTTTCATTTTCAGCAATGCTGAATTTAAAAAACCTTTCCTGGAGTAAGAAAAGAAAGAAGACTGCTGATGTTAAGAAGCAGAAGAAGCCTTTGGGAGAAAGGCTGCTGCTACCAAGAAACCAACAGCTGAAAAGAAACCTGCCATAGAAGAAAAGAAGCCTGCTGCATAACTATTAAAATCTGTTTCATTCCATAAAGGTCAAATAATATGGGATAGCTTATTTGAATAAAGACCTGATCAAAAAAGGGGAAAAAAAAAAAAGAAACCTTAAGAATGTCTCCTCCACATTTCAAATAATGTCACTAAGAAACCAGGTTATAACTACTTTATAATCTTACACACTCTCCTCCTATAGACTTAGGGCAAATAAAACTATTTGAATGAGAAGAGTGATCTGGAAACCAGTGTGGAAAGTAGACTGAACAAAATGTAGAAACAGGAAGATTAAGCCAAAGGTTCATCATTTATTTACTGTGGGACATTCTAACTTTCACTGTTGATGCAACTTGTACTCTTCTGAACTGTCAGTCGTTTTGGAAGAAAGAAAATATATTTAAATTCTAAATGATCACTTGAGCTCAGGAGTTTGAGATCAGCTTGGACAATATAGTAAGATTCAATCTCAGAAACAAAAAGTGGGCCAGGCTCATGATGGTACATGCCTGTGATCCCAGCACTCAAGAGGCTGAAGCAGGATGATCACAAATTCGAGGCCAGCCTCAAAATGAATGAATTCTACTTTAATAGCAACAACTAAAAATCTCTGCTCTGATTCATTTTCATATAACTCAATAGCAATTTTTTGTTTTTTTCAAAGACAGGGTTTCATTAAGCAGCCCAGATGGCCATGAACTTGAAATTGTGCCTCAGTCTCCCAAGTGATGGGATCAATAACAAAATTTACTTTCATTTTCCACATTTCTGCTCATAACCACACTCTATGACATAATTCTAAGGTATGCAAAATAAGCAAAGGTATAAATTTACAAATATCCACATAGAATGTCCAACAATTCCAATTTGAAAATTCAAAAAAATGTGGATTTAATTCCCTTAGCAAGTTGATTTGAGACCAATTTCAGCTCCTGTTCAACATCGTCAGTGTCATCAAATTTATTTATGGCAACTGGATCCCACCAGAAAATTAAGAGGAAGTAAAACCTAGAAAATGTTTTTAGCATCTTCTTACTATGACTAATAAAAAACATAATAACCTTATTATTTCCTTCTTATGTATTGGAAAAGAGCTGACAGACTTT